TAAATAATGTTTATTTCAGTACATTTCGCGGTTCTACTATCAGCTACAAAACAGAACCAGATCACGTACCCTTCTCCCAAGGGTCACGGGAAAGACTCCAACTTTACAAGGAAATCTAAAAATAAAATAGCGAAAAAATATACAAGATGACTGTGAAATGCCCTTAGTTTTAATATTTCAAATAATTTTATTTTAAAGCTTAAAAATTATATAAACTATACGGAAGATGTTTCGATTTATTTGCTAACAAAAAATAATAGATAGGAGATAGATATTTTTTGAATAAAAATATATAACAAAATTTAAAATTCTTACCAGATAATAAAAATCCAATGTGTAATTGTATTCACTTGAAATACGATGATATATCTTCTCAAAGAGCATATTGGAACATTGAATAACATCCGTTGCACAAACAACCGCAACATTCGGCCACTTGGATGACGCCTCGCTGTGGAGTCGATGGCAGGCTGGAGTTCCCCTGAGCTCCTACAGTGGCTCCTCTGCTACCCGGATCTGGCAATTGACCCGGGGCGTTTTGTCTCCACCGCGGCGGCTCAACTGCTTCCATATGCTCTCCGGGTGATGTGCGGTAGTAAATACAATTTACTCCACTCGGTCGCACACATTCCGATGGCGCATAATTTTATTGGCTTGCATGCGATGCCCTCTGTTGGGATGCGTTGCGTTCTGTTGACTTCGATGACAGCAAACAGAATCAACAGTCCCTAGGTGGCACTGTGGCACTGTAGCACTGGCACCCTCCATGCCACCGCCACCACCGCATTCTAATGAGATATGGCCCTGGAGTCATGCTGCATTTTTCTAGGCCCAACATTGGCAAACAGCAAACGGATGGGTTACCATCTGCCAACGGCTATTACACTGAGAAAATCAAAGTTCTGGACCATGTGCCGATAATTCTGAGATCCCATAATATATTTAGATTAAATGGGATTTAATAATTTTTATTTAAAATCACATTTCCATAACAAAGAGGGTCAACGGAGCCTGTTACATATTTACTTTCTTAACTTATTTTCAATATAAAGTTATTTATAACTGTATTAAATAAGGTTAAAGAATATTTATTCCTGTGCAGTCAAAAGATCCCCTTAGTGCCCGAAGGCACTTATGTTTTGCATATGAAATCGTGCCCATAATGAGGAGGGACGCGGCCGGGAACTCTGACTCTGGCAGTGACTCTCGATCCCTGGCCGCTTGCAGAAATGCTAATTAGGCGTAATTCGCATAAAATTCGCAAACATTTGCCGTCACTGGAGTCCCGGACTCTCTCGGCTGGCAATGCAGCCGGCATTTGCTTTTGATTTACGATTTTCAGGGCATGACTGCCAATCTGGCCTATCAACGGCTCATCAACAAGGATGCCAGTCAGAGGGTCGTCAGAGGACCGCCAATCAGCGGTCCATCCGTCATCGGCCCGGCTCCCGCTTAATTACTGAGAGTATGTGTAAGCCGATATGATTCAGTTTATTATAGGTATTACGGGTTTTGGGTTTCAGCTCTGAGATTGAAAGGAGTGCAGTGTGTAATTAACATTAAGGAATGCACTCACCTTTAATTCATAATTAAATTTAAATAATAATAAGCCTACTTAATAAACGTAATAAGTTTACCTAGTTACCGAATAAAATGAAACCAATATCTAAATTAAATATCTCGCCTGGAAGATTGTTTGTGTTAATTAAACGGTTAAGTTGCCCAGCCGAACTTAGGCAGGAGTTTTCAATTCAAATCGAGTTTGGAATAGTTTCCACAGGCGGAGGGAGTCGATTATTCGCTTAGCTCAAGTACTTAGCATTCCACTTCCGCCCCATACCACCCCCCTGGCCGATCCCGTGGGATGGTCTGTAACTATTGTCAAGTTCTTGGGCCAAAAAGCACTTCCACTGCTTCCTGCCAGGCGGCACTGAAAGGATTTCAATGTCACACCGCAGCTGTTCGACTGCTCCTGGATGGTCGGACCATTAAATTAACCCACGGGCACAGAGCATCAAGTTTACCGAAGCGACCACAAAAGCGACGAAAATGAAAATTCATGAAAGTTTATCACAGCAGCAAAAACCACCACGCCGCACTCCAATGGATACCAAGTTCCGGGAGCCGGGATCCGGGATCCACAATCCAGAATCCGGGATTCCGAGCCATAGTTTCAGACGGAGTCATGGGCACCACTTTTGTGGTCAATTAACGGCCCTCGGCCGGCCTCGAGTTTGTTTTTGTGTAATGAATTTAAATGACCCACTGCGCCGGCTCATCATCAGGGGCTGCAAAGTGTTTTCCAAAAGGACCTCGCAGGACAGCCTCCCCCTGGACCGGGCCGTATCCTGGCCCGGCTGCTCAAGAGCAGACGCCTTAAGCCGGCCCAGCTCATACTCAACGTGACAGCACCTGTCGCCGAAAAATTTCCAACAATTTGGCTAATGACTTCTATGGTAATAGGAGACAGTGTTGGCAACATAATATTCTACAAAATAGCTGAATTTGGTTATTTATTAAAATGTATCTTTGTTAGAAAATCTTGTATCTTACTTGTGGATAAAAAAAGACTTAATTTCGGCACTTTAATATCCAAAAATCTGGTTTAAAAATTCGAAGGAACTTGTTTATTGTAGGAACTTGTAAAATAAACATATTAAGTTAACCTAATTCTTATATTTTAAGCTTATAATAAAATGTAAATATCTGTTTATTAAATTTGTTAATAAATTTATGGTTCATAGACCATCTTAAAACAACCTGAAGATTGACTCTTAACTAATTACAACCATTAGGTGTATCTTTTTTCATTCTCTGATCTATGCTGTATGTCTTGAAAACAGCCAAGTTGACATCATGGAACGGCTACCCTAACTTGGCCCTGGGTAAATACCAAATTAATTATATTCCATGCAGAGAAATTAATCAAGCGTTGCGCTGGCCAAAACCGAAACCAACTACACACTCCCGATGAACTCTATTTAACCCCAAAAACAAGCCACGCCCCCAACTTACGAACAGGTGTGAGCAGAACTTGTGCCCAGCTTGCGGCCATTTCATTAATCACACTCAACACTTAGTGGGATCCTGGGCCAGGACTCGGACTCCCAGCACATCGGGCGGGGGGAATTTAAGGTAGAAGGTTGCCAATGTCAAATGCTTTTTAGGGGGCCCGCTCCCTGTCTGGCCAACTACCGATTTTATTTATTATTGTGCATATTTAATGAAGCAGGATCTAAGGTGTTGCTGCAGTTGCACTCAAAGATATAGCGACTTTGAATATCCTGTAAATAATGAACGTTTATAACGAAAAATTGTGACACATTTAATTGTATAAATTTGAACAATAAAATATACATTTTAACAAGTTTTTATTCAAAAAAATTGTTTTTTTTTACACTTGTTGTTTAAATTTAAATCTATATGATTATTTTTTACAAGGCACGATTGTTGTCTTACGTTTTTGGTTATAAAAGGCTCTTTATTCCTTAAAATTAAAGAATAAGAATTAAAATCATTTAAAGAAACGTAATGCAATATTACGAACAAAGTACTAAGGAGTATTAAAAACTAAATTTTAACAAATGTACCACAAAATCGATTAAAAAATTAAAAAATGGTAACTATAAAACCAGTTGTAATTCTCATTGGTTTAATTTTTGCTTTTTTTTGGAATTTGTATTTCTACATTTTATTTTACGAAAACATCTTTGGCGCCACCTTTTGCCGTTTGGCTTAGTTTTCCGAAAACCAAAAGCTTTATTCCGAAATTCAACGAAGCGAACGAAACTTGGTATTTATAGCAAGCAGCTTTCACTCAAACAAGCAGCTTTTTAGACCAAACAAGTAAAGATGGAGCACGTGTAAATATGACGTTGTTTGTAGAGATTTTAATAGAAAATTAAAACCAAATGAGGATTTAAAAAAAAAAAACACTAAAAGTATAATAGAATAGAAACACTAATAGAAAATTAAAACCAAATGAGCATTTTTGTGAAAAACACTAAAAGTCAAAATATGTAAATGAGGACCCGAGCCGCAAAGCCTGAACTTATACGCTAACTCTATATTTACGTTTTATATAATTTTTTTCTGAAAAAATTCTTTAGGCGCCGTTAAAAAGTAACAGTCAAAATATGTAAATGAGGACCCGAACCACACAGCCTGTGTGATTTACTTGAATAATAATTAAAATTAGTTCTCCATTGTGTCGCGTTTCAAGACCCCTTTTTAAAGGTTTGTATTTCTTTATATAATCAAAAAAAAAAAAATTCAAAAAAAGCAAAGAACCCTACTATACAGTTCTCGATCTTTTGCAAAACGATGCTTTCGAAGGATATATACAAAAAAGAATATGGGTATCTAAAAAAAATGCATTCAGCCACAAAAAAATTATTAAAAAATTAATAAATAAAGATGAAAATAAGAACCCAACTCTCCTGATTTCAAAATGGCGAAGAACCGATAGCAGCTGTCCAAAAAACCAGTCAAAAAAAAAATATTTTAGATGCTTGCGCAGGCGATGTAAAAATATAAAAAATATAAAATGAAGCCATAATGAGGGACTGAATCACATAACACAGTTCTCGATCTTTTGCAGAACAATGGTTTCGAAAGAAAAAATACAATAAAGAATATGGGAAAAAAAAATTAAAATCAGGCCACACAAAAAAATGTATTATAAAAAATAAATAAATAAAGAACTCTGATGCCAAAAATGAAAACAACCAATAGCAGCTGGGAGCAGTTGCCTGCGTTAACCAATTTAAATAAATACATAAGAATAAGAACTCATTTAATACCAAAAATAATTACATTAACCCCCTTTTAAAAATTAAAATGAAAATTCAAAAATAATTTCATTTTGGGAGCTGTTATAAGCCGCAAGGCCCATAACCAACTGACCAGATCACGATAGCCTGCTCTATTTATATGCAAATTCTCGTAAACATTTTGACATTTACGACAACGACACGCCTGACAAATTTTGCCATAATTTGGCATTTGGTCACATTTTTGCACTTTTCAATTGCACGATAAGTTGTCGGCAGGGCCCTATACCACTGCCACTGGGCCCATCCTGCCTCCTACAAAGGAGGATAATGATAATGATAATCATCATAATGATCAATACGATAAAGCTTACCTTAGGCCGAAAGCGTACGAGAAGAGAAAACAAAAGAAGACAGCGGAAGCGCACGCGCTTAGATCTATTTTTAGTAGCGCTCTAGTAGTCTACCAGGTCTATGCATATGAGACTGCGTTTCCCAATTCTGGGCATTTTTGCGAATTCTGGGCGTTTTTGGAGCAGAGATTCTTTCAATTCTTCCAATTGTTGCTGATAGCGTTCGCCATCGTTTTAGGAGCTCATACCAAACGATTCCGACCTGATCCCGGAAAACGCTCAACATGGCTTTGCGGCCGAAACGGTTTTGCCGAGATTGGGATTGGGCCGCCTGGCCTGGGCTAACATAGGATTTTTTTCATTTTGGGTTTTGAAAAAACATACAGGCATGCTCCGGTTTTCACTTTCGGTTTTCGTTTTCGTTTTGGGACCAAAACCGAGATTTTCGTTTTTAGGTGCTCCGGTTTTCACAAGTTTTTAGTTATCGTTTTGCTATCGAAACGTTTCATTTCTCATAACTTCTTGCTGCCGAAACAGGTGATTTGAGGTTTGGTCAGCAGCAAACAACGCGAAAAAATGCCTTTTTTATATTCAATTACATCTTTCGTAGCCAAAAGAATTAAGGGGAAAAGCCAGAAAAGCCAAGTTAAGGGATGCCACCTTTTCAATGGGTTTCATTTTCATTTCATTCCGGTGTTTTCACGATTTTTTTTATACACTTTTAGAACATAACTAATTAAATTAAATTAATTATTTTTTAAAAAACATAGTTTACCCAATTTCAACAAATTTATCGTCATCCATATGATTATACAAGTATTTTTAACTTGCTTTTTTATTCTATCAAAAGTATGGCAGCTTAGGCGATAACTTATGGTGTCAAACTTATCGGTCGTTCACCAAAACGAAAATTGTTGTTGCCGACGGCAAAATTTGATATCCAAATTTGAGGTGGGGTCAGAAATTACTCGTTTTAAAAATAATTACAAGCCTAATTGATCTTCTAGAGGTCTTAAAAGAACGACAATAAACCAATAAGTGAACTATTTTTTTTCTTTTGCAAATATGATCCGATTTAATATAGAAAAAGGCATTTACTTTTCATTTCGGCAAGACAAATTTTTTCGTTTTGGAATTCGAAAAAATCTTGTGAAAGTGAAAATGGGAGCACCAATTTTTTCGTTTTCGTTTTCAAAACGAAAGCTAACATTCAGGAAGACGAAGCTGCCGAAAAGAAAATTAAATTTGCAATAACAATGGACAAAAATGAAGTGTAGGATGCGTGCATCGATTTGGTGACGCTGGAAAAGCTTCCGTTGGCTATTTTTAATTCGGAGTGCTACAAAACGCTTAAGGGCCCCTTCACCTGAATTTTTTTGAAAAAATCGATTTTTTTTTTTTACATAAAATGAAAGTTTTATATGTCTAGAATATATGTACCAAAGAATATTTCGATACGACGCATAGTTCATGAGCTAGAGCGTGTCAAACGCACCCATGTCACGCGCGCTGTGGCACGCTCAGCGCGCCGATTCACCGCGCGGCTCTAGATGGTGCCTTATGTCCCAAAAAGAATAACGGTTGGTAATGCAACTTGCTCAACGTTTTGTAATGTGTATTATAGGTGGCAGCACATACGGAAAATAAGCGATACGGCAGAAGCAGAGGCGGACTACGTCAGTTCATCAGCGAAAAAGCTGAAAAATGCCGATTACAGTGATGTGCCCGTCGATGGGAACTCAAGTTACGTTATTTGTAATTTCTATTTGATTTTCAACGCGCTGAGCGAATTTCTCGTGTGCAAGTCGTGTCATGGTGCAGTGAAATTCGGGGAAGTGCCTGGACCTGGCGTTGGCTTCAAGCTCACTAAGGACTGTTCGTGCGAAAGGCGCCAGTTAGTGTCGTCTCCGATGTCGCACAATGTTTACGAAATAAACCGACTCATGTTTGCTTTTCGCGTTCTCGGGTGTAGTTTAGAGAGTGTGAGAATCTTTTGCGCCCTACTGGACATCAGACACTCATTTAGTAGCAAAATCTACTACAATTTCCTGGAATTCCTGGAAAAACACCAGAATTCGAAGAATGGAGCCAGAACCATGCCGAGGAGTGCAGCGCGAATCACACCGGAAGTGCGGGCAAAATGGAGGTAGACGGAGTAAAGGAAATGTTTCTGCGATCAGAAAATCTTCTCGGGGTCAAGTACGCGAATTACATCGGCGATGGGGACACAAAAACCTTCAAGGCTATTATTGATTTAAATCCCTATGCAGACTGCCCGGTATCGAAGAAGGAATGCGTGGGCCACGTCCAGAAGCGTATGGGAAGTCGACTTCGGGAGCTAAAGAAGACCACAAAGGGACTTGGTGGAAAGGGGGCCGGTAAATTGATAGAAAAAGTTGTCGCAAAATTCTCAAATATTTTCTGCACTGGATATGCCGGCTGTTTCGTCCAGAAACATAATGGGCATGGTGGAGGAAAAATATAATGACATTAAAAAAAGCATAATGGCCAGTCTCAAGGACAAAATGCTTAGCTTAATGCTTTACTTATAGTAATGCGTTGAGGCGCGAGAAGAAAGTCTTTAAGCAAATAAAGTAGTAATTTGCAGCCTCTTCCTGGACCCACGCTTACGTCGCATATTGCTGCAACACCCTGAAAAAGTGATGCGCGCGAAAACGGAGCTTAAACAGCTCTTACGCCAACTGTGGCAGTTGAAGGAAAAGGTTAGTAAATTCATTTTATATAAATAATTGTTGGAATATATCGATTCCTCCATCAAAATTAACATTGCACATCATTATTATGTATTATAAAATTATGTAAAACTGGTCACACTTTGAGCGTGTGTCTTTCCTTTTGATTTTGATTCTCATTGCGATTGTACGTGCGATTGTGTTGCGAGTCTTATTGATCAATATAAAAATATAAACTATTGATATAAAGTATTAAGAGTGTTTGATTTATTTAGATAGTTAATTTTACTATAGATTTCCAAAAATAATAAACAATAATTAATTCAACATATTTTCAGATTGATACAGATGAAGCCTGCTTAACCTCTAGCTTGCTTTCGCAAAATTCTCATTCTTGCTCGCTCTTGACCGAGCTTTTAAGTAGCATTGAGCTCGGTGCCGAAGAGGAAGCTGACGATGATGGGCAGCAGGAATTATTAAAAGGATATGCTGAAATTGATAGTTACAGCCCGAAGCTCATCAGCCCAGGCGCTGATATAATGCAGTACTGGAGTGAGAAGCAATTTCAGTACCCGAATTTATATCAGCCCAGGCGCTGATATAATGCAGTACTGGAGTGAGAAGCAATTTCAGTACCCGAATTTATATCAGCTACGTTCATGTCTCGGCACGGGGGCCCTTCACGTCTCGGCACGGGGATGAGCCGGGCACTCCACGTCTCGGCAGGATCGGCCAGGCCCTTCACGTCTCGGCAGGGGCATCAGACGTGCACTCCACGTCTCGGCAGGGGGATCGGTCAGACCCTTGACGTCATGGCATGAGCGGGGATGAGCCGGGCACTCCACGTCTCGGCAGGATCGGCCAGGCCCTTCACGTCTCGGCAGGGGGATCAGACGTGCACTCCACGTCTCGGCAGGGGGATCGGTCAGACCCTTGACGTCATGGCACGGAAACAGTTAATTACCCTACGGAATTTCTAAACTCACTTGATCTGCCTGGAATGCCACCGCACATATTGAAATTAAAAATAGGTGTGCCGATTATCATGCTCCGGAATATAAATCAGCCGAAACTCTGTGCGTGACACGCAGTCAAGAAATTAATGAACAACGTAGTAGAAGCAACGATCATAACTGGTCCTTTCAAAGGTGAAGATGTCCTTATTCCTAGGATTCCTCTGATCCCGACTGATACACCGTTCCAGTTCAAGAGACTGCAGTTTCTTATTCCCATTGCGTTTTCCGTGTCGGAAAACCAGATAGTCTTTATATTTATCGAAGGAGAAACGAAGAATATTGTATACCCACAAGTATACAACATTCTTGTATAGTTATACAACTATACATCAACAAGTTATACAACATTGTTGATTGTATACCCCATGACACCCAACAAATCACAAGGCCAATCCTTAAAAGTTTGTGGTTTAAATCTAGAACATTCATGTTTTTCCCATGGTCAATTATACGTGGCATGTTCACGGGTCGGAAGACCATCTGCGTTGTTTGTTTTTGCGCCTGATAATAAAACAAAAAATGTCGTGTATCACAAGGTGCTTAAGTGAAGAGCAAACTATGTACTAAAATACAGAAATAATAATGAATGATTAATGTAGTTATTTAATTTTATTTTGTATTTTTTCGAATAAAATAAAAAAAAACTGCTTATTTATTGCCATTAAGGCGGAACAAAGTTCGCCGGCTCAGCTAGTATAATACTATTGTAGGCTTTAAACCTAACGTATCGTTTTATTATTTGTTAAAAAATCCAAAATTTTTTCAAAATCCAAATAGTTATAAAACCACTTTTGTTTACACAATCTTGCGGCCAACCGCGACCAAAACCGACACGACGGACAGGCTAGATCCACTTCCATCAAAATCAAGTCGCCTTCTTAAAAGAAGGCTCATGCTAATTTTCTAATTGACGATTCCAGTGACTCCGAGCCCGGACACAAAAAGCGGAAACCTGCTAAAAAACCCATCATGGATGATAAACCAAGCACTAGTGAAGCATCCAAAGATCATCTTGAAAAAAACTATTAAGCAATCCTATCCGATTTCGACGTTGAAGATGTTCTTGACATAGAACTTGACTATACAGTTCTCGATCTTTTGCAGAACTATACTTGCAAAGGAAAAAATACAATAAAGAATATGGGTATCTATATAATATAAATCAGGCTACAAACTGCACAGCGCGTAAAGGAAGAACCCTACTGAAAATCGCAACATGTATGTTTTGATACATCAACTGGTCTTCTTTTACTACAAAAAAAATAATAAAATTTAAAAAAAACCCAAGATCTTAACTACATAGTTCTCGGTCTTTTGCAGAACGATGCTTTCGAAGGAAAAATACAATAAAGAAAATGGGTAATTAAAAAAAATATGAATCAGACGACAAAAAAAAATGCATTAAACAATGAATAAATAAAGAAGAACTCAACTCCTCTGAAAGTAAACGGCAAAACCAATGGCAGTTGGGAGCAGCTTCCTGCGTAAACGAATAAAAAAATATATAAAAATAAGAACTCATTTAATACAAAAAAGAAAAAAAAGAAGGATATATAAACCCATTTAAAAATTCAAAAACAATTTCATTTTGGGAGTTGTTATAGGCCGCAAGGCCCATAACCAACTGACCAGAACACGATAGCCTGGTCTATTTATATAAAAATTCTCGTAAACATTTTGACATTTACGATAACGACACGCGTAAGAAATCTTGCCCAAATTTTTTTTTTGGCATTTGGTCACATTTTTGCTTTTTTTAAAGCAATCTAAAGAATTTTTTTTAATGAAGAGTGAAGTTTTGTTATTATTTTTGGCACATCATGTGGCTTACCTTAAAAAAGGTAAGGTTTGTTGTGGTTCGGTATAAATGGTTTAATGAGTGGATTAGGCCTACTGGGATAATCACGACAAAATGTTCAGTTATATGTATGACCGGAGAACTACTTATATCCGATATTTGCAATTTATATGAACTTCGCCTCCGCCCGAATCTTCCTTTCTTGTTTAGTATGAAATTTAGCCATTTTTTTATGCCGGATGGAATTATTTACCTTATAAATTATGAAAACTGTTATTTAAAAAATTATAAAAAAACGAGTAAAATGCTATGATAACTGCCGCTAACAAAAACTTAAAAATAATTGTTGATTCAATTAAAAATCGTGATTAGTCTTAAGTTTTTGTTTAACTTTCTTCAAAAATAAGACAATGGTATGGAGATCATTTGATTTATAAGTTCCACCGTTCAAGATACGGAATAAAACCAACACAATGGTGCTTCGCCGGTGTTTTTGGTGTCAATATTGAAAAATAGAACAGAATGTGCAAACAACAATATTTGGGTAACAAAAACAGAATAGGCCAGCACAATAAGAGACAGTAATGGAAATGGTAATTATAGTTGTTAAATTTTTGTTATAATCTGTCTAATTACACATTTTTTATAAAATTTTCCATACCTTTCTCGCCGTTTTGGGCCCTATAAATAGACTGTCTTGTCTCAAGCAATCACAGTTTTAGTTCTAATCTCCAAAATGAGATTCTTTCTCGTACTAGCTCTGGCTGTTTTCGCCTTTTGCTTAGTTGAAGGCGTTTCACCCGCAAGTTCTGATTCAGACGTGGACTCTAGTAGCAGTTCAGAAGAAGGAACCAATAGTGGCACGGGCACTAGCACTTATACAGGAACAGGAACAGAGACAGAAAGCACGACTACCACCACAACTACTACTACCTCAACCAAAGCACCCGTGGTCCACCACCGTCGGCACCGGCGAGGCAACCTCCGCAGGAGGAGGAACCGTCGCAGACAAGCCGCTGAGCACAGAAGGCGTCGTAGGGGTTAAACCGTAGACCATCCATAAATTTTTACTAAAAATGTTAACAAATTAAATTTTCAATTTTAAATAAAATCAATTCAAAGAGAGTTTTTTTATTTCTAAAATTTTTGTACTGCCTGGTAATACTCTCTCCTTTGATCATTTTCGTGAGGGCTACAATACATTTTTTATACTTTAAACTTGCCAATTGATCAACACACCTTTTAATTTCCAAATTTTGAAAAAAGTTAGGACTATACTAAGTATTAAACGGAGATGCTTAAAACGATACTTAAAAAGGTAAGGTTATTTTTTATAAAATTTCTTAGGTTCCGAACCTTAAAGCGCCAAGAAAGGTAGTCAAGAAAATTGTCCCTTTGGTATAGTCCTTTTTAAATAGTTATAAAAGAAAGGTAATACAAATAAAGGGAGGAGGCCCCTTTTGCACGGTATTCACGGGTAAAAACAAGAAAGCAAATTTTTATTATTGAACCGGTATCTTTATCCAAATTGGTGCCCCCGCTCGCTGATTTGAATAAATGATATAAAAATCGAAGGGTATCGCTTAAATTAGATCATTTTTGTTTAGATCAAATTAGATTAAGACATTTGCCAAAAGTATCAATTCGGGAGAAATTTGCGTAAATGTAAAGATTAATTTTAAAGATTGTAAAATTTTGATTCTCATTGGGACATTGGAGTCTCCAGACAACATTTTTTTCCTCAAAAACATTATAATTTTGAATACGCGGCGATTGATGAACCCGCAAAACTTATTCGGCACGTGCAAGAAAAGCTAATAAAAAAGCGGACACGTTTAAGAATAGTTTTTAATGGTTAGTTTTATATAGCGATATTGCTTGTTTCGTCTCAACCTCGTTACCTCGTTAAATTTACAATTGACGTTGCTATTAAAACTTAAATTGTAACAAAAAAAAATTACAAAAATATAAAAATATGTTCAACATGAACAACAACAAAGGAAAACTTCATTATAAGCTGCGGACAAATTCCACTGACTACACAATTGTTACGGATTTGAGGTAATCCATTTAGCCTATTTGGCTCAAGAAGCTGAACAAAATTTAGACTTATTTTAAGAAATAAACTGATAAAAGATTGTTTATGATGTTTATTTTGATGATATTTTGATAAAAGATGTTTATTTTAGATTTATTTCGTAAAAGATTTAGATTTATTTATTTTAGATTTATGTTCTGGGATCAAGCCAGCCTCGTCCAGTACTGTCTGCAATCTTCGCACAAATTCTCTTTCGAGAATTTTGTATATTACTGATAGCAAACTAATCGACTAATAAACTAATAATATATGAAGCGAGACCAGATTCAGGCGTGATTCAGGGATGACGGTGGGAAGGCATCTTCTAAGTGGGCAGCAAAAGCGTCCGTCCTCGCCTGATCCGAGCGGCACCACCCACCGTCGGGTTAGGGGTGGGGCCATGCTGGCCTTGGCTTTCTTATAGGCCGGGCAGTCATTGTAGGAGGCAGGATGGGCCCAGTGGCAGTGCACACTGGGGAATTTGTCCTGTTTTTGTGGCATAAATGTGTTTTTTAAAAGTTTTCAAATTTTTTATATTTAAGTGTTACCGTATTAAGAATAAACCAAAATAGTATGTTACATATATTACATACCATACATAATACATAAATGAGATTTTTCGAGTCTAGTATTAAAATACCAGCGATTAAAGTCAGCGGTTGGGAATTTACATTTGGTGTTTGCATTTGGCTTTTTTTGAAGAGTGATTTCAAATTAATAATTCTTTAACTTCGAACCAAAAATCGATCTAGTTTAAAATGGATACTCATGCTCCAGGTCTGTACTACTTGTTAATACTAATACTTTGCCAAATTCGTGCGTGTCTTTTTAACAATTTGTAATTAAAGCAAGTAGTGTCCGGACAAAACTTTCGTAATGAAAGTTCAACTTCGGGAACAGTTTTAAAAAAATGTTTAGGTTCGATAAGTGAGTGTCTATATCCATGTTGTAGAGCCATTAATTCTTAAGGAAAGTTGCAATCAGCAATGCGGTGCTGTTAGAGGTGTCAGAATTTTTGCCCACGTGCCAAAGTCGACGCCATATTGAATTTTATTAGAGAAAAAGTGGATGAAAGCATTTTTCAACAAAATGAAATATTAATAAAGGAGAAAGCTCGAATATTTTGCGCAAATTTATTGCAAAAGTGGAAAACATGCAATCGGAAACTGGATAGGTTTTCTAAAAAATTTTCAAAATGGATGGATGGATACTTTAGCTTAGATTTGATAGCAAATGAATGCAAAAAAAGGCCAAAGATAAAGCTAGCTGGACGTCCAATATTGCCATTTGGTTTGAAAGGAGCCAGAGGTCAAAGAAAGCAAGCAACCGATCTTTCAACGGCCCAGAAAAACAACGCAAGTCTATTGGTTCAAGCCGCAAGCATAGCTTCTAGAAAGCACAAGCTGTTTGATTTAGCGGCTGTATTAAAACTACTTTCCTTAAACCCAGCTAAAGCCAAAATGATTAGAAATTTGATAAGTAAGCCCGTTGAAAAGCCAGTGCGCTCTTCCCCTGAGGAAGCTCTGGAATTAATTTTGGATCAAGGCTTCACAAAAGAGCAGTATTGTGCGATTCGGGAGGACGTAAAGAGCAGAAAGGCAAATATATACCCAAATTACAAAGACGTAGCTGAGAAGAAACAAGAAAGGAAAGCTAACATCGGGCGGAGCCGAAGTTTATATACCCTTGCAGTTAAAACCGGATATATATCGCAAACATCGGATATAGTTGGTCGATCCTTATGGAAATAGGAAAATATAATCCAATTTATTACAATACAAAATCTAAAAAAAGTCCCAAACTTCTATCTTCAAAAATACGAAAGTTGATATTTCTACCAAATACCATTTCCGATCGTTCAGTTATATGGCAGCTATGGGATATAGTCGGCCGATCCTAATGAAATTTGGTAGGTTGGGTCAACTGACCAAAAATAGAATCTGTATTAAATTCCAGCTTTCTATCTTCAAAAACACGAAAGTTGGGTCATTTCCGATCGTTCAGTTATATGGCAGCTATAGGATATAGTCGTCCGATCCTTATGAAATTTGGCATGTCGTAATGTTTTGCTAAAAATAGCTCTCATGTCAAATTTGAACTCTCTAACTCTAAAAACACCAAAGTTATACCATTTCCGATCAATCAGTTATATGGCAGCTATAGGATATAGTCGGCCGATCCCGGTCGTTCCGACTTATATACTGCGTGCAAAGGAAAGAAGGGTGTGTGCAAAGTTTCAAGTCGATAGCTTTAAAACTGAGAGACTAGTTCGCGTAGAAACAGACAGACAGACAGACGGACAGACGGACAGACGGACATGCTCATATCAACTCAGGAGGTGATCCTGATCAAGAATATATATACTTTATAGGGTCGAAGATGTCTCCTTCACTGTGTTGCACACTTTTGGACAAAATTATAATACCCTCTGCAAGGGTATAAAAAGATTGTCGACCCGCTAATATCAATGTAACTGACACCGTGGCGAAAGTTGCCCTGCAAGATCTATTGGAACATACCGCAGCCCGGATAGTAAGTTATCAAGAGGAATTTTTTGCAACGGCAATGATTAATCAGCAAAAAAACTTCTTATCTGCCGAATTAATACTCAGCTAGCCAGTTATAGGACAAGCCAGTTATAATCAGGCATACACTGACCGCCGATCATATGAAACTGATTCATCCCTCTTTGCTACGACGGTTACACCTCTTCGCTTAGTGGATTCCTCGGGTAATATTTTATGGAATAATCGTACTCCGCAAAGTATACGATTTTGCCGACCCTTGAAACTCGAGTTTCTGAAGGAATCCACTGAAGTCATTATGAGCGAACAACAAAATATGCAAGAGGAAATAAAAAATTTAATACCATGCAAAGTTACTATTAACAACAAACAATTCATATATATAAGGTTTAGTTTGTTTTTAACAGTCATTGATGGGAAAGTGCTCAATGTCTTAACAAATACAAAATCAAACCAAGCCCCATTTGCAAAGCAACATCAAAAGATTTTTTAGAAACCAAAAATTTCAAGTGCTTTAAATTCCTTCCACTTTTAGACAACTTAAAATATGGAGTTAGTCCATTACATTGTTTTTTACGATTTTTTGAATTTATACTTCATGCTGCATACAGAATAGCAGTAAAAAAGTGGAGAATTACAAATGAAGCCGAGAAAGTGCTTGTTTCGGACAAAAAAAAAACATCCAGCGTAAGTTTTGGGAAAAATTATCACTGAAGGTTGATCAACCAAAACAAGGTGGATTTGGAAGCACGAATGTCGGAAATACTGCGCGCCGCGCATTTAATAACTATGTAGAGTTCTCCGAAATCACTGGCATTGACATACAGCTTATTTTTAATATGAGAACCATACTAATTTGCTTATCATGTCAACTGCCAATAAGCCTGGACAAGTATGAGCAACTTTGCCATACGACTGGCCAACTTATTCTGGACAAATATCCATGGCTTCCCATGACAGCAACGGTCCACAAAATTTTGGTTCACTCAACCCAAATTTTAGAGCAAACGGTTCTTCCAGTTGGATATTTTGGAGAAGAGGCAGCTGAAGCAAGAAATAAGCTGTAAAAATCTGATAGGCTCCATCATGCGAGGCAGCATAGTCGTGTTTGTTCCTTCTCAGACTTTTTTCATAAAGCAATGGATACTTCCGACCCTATAATTTCGTCGATGAACTTGAAGAGGCGCATTCGAAAACATAAGCAACTATCTCTCCCACCAGAAGTCCTTCAATTATTATCTTGCGAACTGGATCCTAGTAACGATGCTGACGAGACGATGTTGAATGATGTTGATTGTGGAGCGGAAGAGTTTTTGTACAACATAGAAATTGAAAATGATGAATATATAGAATAGCAAAACAAAAAAATTTTTTACTCAAAAAAAAAAAAATTTGGGGCGGGGGTGCGACAAGCCTATTTTGCTTCAAAAAAACTAACATGGT